GTATATCTTATCTCTGGTCACTTCACTATATATACCAGTACCAGCAATATTAACAGAAGCACCGCTGTGTATGGCGTATGTTGGATTACCGAACTCTAGTGGATTCACACTAGTAGGTGGGCAGTCACCAGTCTGACTGTGACTTGAATCAATTTCACGGTGTCGAATTTTCTCTTCAAGTTTACTGTCATTTTTATTTTTTGGTTTCATCCTTTTCTTCCTCATAACAAGTATAAGCACAAGAACAGAGATAATCAAGAGTAAGACAAATGTAGTAGTCACAAGTGATACTGGGAGAGCACTACCTGTATTATTTTCAGCTGGGTTAGTTTCGATATGTGTTGTGGAGCTCTCGTGGATTTCAACACTGGTAGTATATGTCGTCTTCTTAATGGTACTTTCGATATGTGTTGTGGAGCTCTCGTGGATTTCAACACTGGTAGCATATGTTGTCTTCTTAATGCCATTTATCAAGGGTCTACTAACTAAAGCAGGTGAGGGATCTGCAACAATGTACAACACAATCACTTTTATAACACAGAAAATGGGTTAACTGCAACAACTCACACAAAATAGTTGTAGATGGTAGTGATGAAATAGAAGTAGGATGCAGTGAAGGGGTTGGTTGAAGACAAGTTGGGCTGTCTATACCAACCATAAACATACTTGAGAAATTCAGAGGTATTCCAGAGCTATCCAGGAACCTGACCTCTCCCACATGAACCCACTGTATGGATGAGGTCTGTGACAGGTCCACTAGAATATAGACTGTGCGATAGGATCCACTTAGGAATGAACCTCTAGGAAAGGTAACAGTTGAAAGAGAGTCACAAGATGACTGGAGGGAGTTGTGACCAGCAGGCGCAAATGGAAGGCTATATAATATGTTGGTGGTAGCTGCTAAGTTGTAATCTGGATTGAGATACACTGTGATAGTTGGAGTACCAATGTTCCAGTCAGGACAGTTGAACAAGTCCATCTCAATTCCAGTCAGAGACACAGCTGTGTCAAAGCCAAATGTCAGCAGAACGTGAGCGAAATTGATACCATGGGTTCCCTCATTCCTCCTCACTGTCACTAGCCGAGATGCCCAGTTAGAGGTACTTGTGTTAATATTAGGAGAGCAACCATCAATCAGATAGCTTTGTGACCCACACATCATCACACCACCACAGTCTACTAGTGGACTAGTACATCCCATTGTCACACTAGATCCATTGACTGACTCTATTCCTTGAGGTACTACCTGCACCAGTGTTTCAGTGCCTGAGGTATGAGGACATTTTGACATTTTGACATTTTGACTCAGTATGAAAATTAATAATACCTGAGAAAAGGCCAGATGAAAAAAGTAGAGTAATCAGAATTCGCTGCCCCTGGACAATAATATTAATGAAGAAGTCACTAGAACATTATTAACCCTCGGCGCGCATGCGCTATAGGGTTATACTTAGTTCGTAAGTGTGTCTCCTTCGATTTTCGTAAAACTACTGTGTTCTAAAGTTATGGCGTGAAAACCAAGTGAACAAGCCAATTGGTAATTAGCACAGGACTGGATTCCACAGTCTGATCGATCCGCGTGCTCTGCGTACCTCGGAGGCACCAGAAGATGCAACGCGGCAGGGCGTGTGTCGCCTCTGGCATGCTATCTAGTAGTGTAGTTAGCCCGCGTCAGACTCTGCGCGAGCTGGAAGAGGACCACGAGTAACAACACCCAGCCCATCAATTAGTGGTACTGCGCATGCGTTTACTTACGCGTGCGCATAACAATCCGCCAACACTTCAGTGCTTTTCATATGTAGGTTTAGCTGCATTGCACAACCTGTCCTTTAATAATACACAAGGTGGTTGACCGAAATCACTGCCAATGTCGTTGGATCAGTAGATGTTCATTAATTCAGTGCTGTTTGAGTGCTATACATACAATGATTACCTCTCCGCCCCATAGCAAAAAATTTATGCAACTTAACACACCAGTCTGTTTCCACCCCTCCTCCATAGCACATGCACAGCAAGGCAAGGTCCAGGTATAATATAGTAGCTTGAGACAGGGCTCTGATATGGGGACAACTCATTCCGAAGCTGTTATGGATCATCTCTTTATCAGAGAGGTGAGCGAATGAACAGTTGGTGACACCACATGCCAACCGTGACGCATGGTCTGTTACATATACTATAAACCTCTACAAAGACAATCCTTCAGTTTTACTTTCTCTAAGCAGACAAAAATAAAATAAAACCCACCCAGTTGTTTATCTAGGGCTGGTGACATGGCTGTGTCTCCTTATTCAGACCTGCCCGTAGTGTGTTCAGTAACCACAAACTTCCTTGCACAGAATATCAACTACGTAAAGGAGGATAATGCAGCTAGAGGAACACACAAGCCTCCAATGGAATCTGCTAGAATGTATCAGTGTGAGTAAAAGCTGATCCAAAATGGGCATAGGAAAGTTTCCCGTGTGAAAACAAAGCCAGCGTGAAAATGACCTGGCATAAAGCGACCAGAAGATAAGACAGGTAATCTGACTTCTAAAATGTGAATCTAAAGAAAACATTATTCTCCTTACGAATGACAGGAGATGGTCCTGAGCTGCTAGTGCATGTAAAAGCTCCACTTGGTCGTGTCACTCCATTAGCCTTGCTAAAAGCCTTGTGGTGGTGTTGTGTATATATCCATGTTGTTTGTGGTACAAATGGATTTACTTTTCACACAAACAAAAACATTCACAAATCCAATGGAGAAAACACCTTTTTGACGATAATCATACATATTTGCTTATGTGCATAATACATAGCCGCGCACTATGGTTAATTTGCCCCACAAATGCAAATCTCTTCCTCAAATGTGCACTTGACAGTCTGTCTTAGAGAGCATGAACAATCCCAGCTCTAGTAGTCTGCCAACATGCACATAACATACAGGTTCCACTCACCATAAACAATGAAGACATGGCAAACACTACCACACTGCACTTCTATTGTCCAGATATTTTCGGCGACACGGTCGTTTTGGTGTGCAGTAAATAGTTAGGGCTGGTAAATACAAGTGCTCACGCACCCCGACGACTCACTTTGCGCATGCGCACTAGGAACTCTATGCGGTATTGTAGTAGTGTATACGCATTCTTTTCCATGTTGTTTGTGATACGAATGATGTACTTTTCACACAAACAAAAAACATTCACAAATCCAATGGAGAAAACACCTTTTTGACGATAATCATACATATTTGCTTATGTGCATATACATAGCCGCGCACTATGGTTAACTATTGACCCCCACACAGAGCAAATCTCTTCTCCAAATGTGCACTTGACAGTCTGTCTTGAAGAACATGAGCTCTAGTAGTCTGCCAACGTTTTTACTATTGTGCACATAACATCAATAATGTTCCACTCACCATAAAGTATGAAGCCATGGCAAACACTACCACACTGCACTTGTATATATTGTCCAGATATTTCGGGGTGGTAAAAGTGCGCACGCACACCCCGACTAGTCCTAGATCCTACCGACGACTCACTTAGCGCATGCGCAGTTCGCCTGCGGCATCAATATTATCGAGCCTGCCAGCCGGCTAAATATAGCACGCGCGCACGCGCGCCGCATTCATCATCATGCACGCGTGTGTTACGAAGCGGACAAAAACGTTAAATTATAATGCTATATTACATGGTTCGATCTAGAGAGGAGCGTGCGCGCTTAATTGTGTACACGTGCGCGTAAAACTCCGCGCATGCGCAGTACAGTGACAATGCAGAAAATTCAACACCAAGAAAGAAGTCCAGCGTATTGTTCATAAAACTGTTTGAAGTAATGTGTGCAAATCTCTGAACGTGATTCGTTCATTGAAGTCCATGACCCAGCACTGTTCCATGATCTCGTACACAGACTGGGGGCACGAGGAAGACTGAGTCGGAAATTGACGATACTCCCTCTTCAAAGCATTGTGGATCACCTCCTCGTCAGAGAGGTGGCGATACGGCAGCTGCTTGGCCTAAATTGATTGTTTATGGTTGCCATACCCATAGTTATCACTGAGGAAAAACACCTTTTAGCTACCACTCCAAACACAATAATATTGAAAATGCTTTACCATAGTATTGCTGTACATAAGAATAACAAAAGCAAAAAACCGTGACACGTGAGAGCAGGTGTTGCACGTTTGACGATTGCCAAAAGCATATGAAAACGAAAACATCGGCATCAACCTTCAACAAACAATAAACATGGGCACGCTGCACTCTAAAAATGATAACGCATTCATAACAAACAGGTAAATGAATGTGCAAGAGTTCCTACAAACTTTTCTGTATAAGCAAATCGTTAAACTATGCCTGGACAAACTACACGTAACTAAATGGTATTTTCATTCCCTGAGTTAAATTTTTAACCAATCAATCAGTTTCTGAAATGTAAGACGGTGCCTCATGTCCACGGCCCAGCATTTCTCCATCACGTCATACACTGGCTGGGGACAGGCCACTGGCTTGGCTGGGAACTGACGATACTCTTTCTTCAAGGCATTGTGGATCACCTCCTCGTCAGAGAGGTGGCGATACGGCAGCTGCTTGGCCAGAGTGAACATCTCCCACATGGTCACACCAAATGCCCACACGTCTGACTTCTCCGAGAATTTCCCGCTGAAACACTCGGTGGCCATCCAGCGAATGGGCATCTTTCTGTTCCCACGGATGCGGTAGTAGCTGGACTGGTAGAGACTTGTGTTCACACCAACATCCCCCACCTTAATGGAGTTGTTGGTCGTGATAAAGCAGTTGCGAGTGGCCAGGTCTCGATGGACAAACTTGAGACTTGCCAGATACTGCATACCACTGGCAATCTGGGAGGCTATGTACACCAGCTCCGAGGACGTGATTTAGGTTTGGCTGGATGAAGTGGTGACAATCTCCGAGTAGCTCTGCAGGAACTGGTTCAGGTCTCCTCCCTCGGTGTACTCCATCATGATGAAGGCAGAGTCGTGGACGCAGACTCCCAGCAGACGCAGGACGTTGGGGTGTTTGATGTGGGACATGAACTGAGCCTCCTTCTCAAAGGCCTCTCTCTGGGTCTGGGACGGATTCGACTGTAGCTTCTTTACAGCTACCGTGACTGATACGTTTGGGTTGTTGTCTGTCTTGCTCAATCCCATGCTCTTCAGACTCAGACCATTAGTGTTGGCCAGCACCACTTCTCCAAACTGCCCATCTCCCAGTTTCGTCTTCTCGGTGATGTTTCTCACTGGTAACCTCTGCAGGATCTTGGTAGATCTCAGGGAGGGATGAGGCCATTGTGTAAATTGGGCCCAAATATTGAGGATCATTCCCTCCACCTTTCATTCTGTTGCGAGTGAAATCAGATGGATTAATGGACTCGCTGTAAATGCTTATATTGAGCGCCGACTGCGTGTCTAGATATTCCTGTAGATCTGATGACTTCATGGGAACTGCTGGGACTTCTCTGACTTTGATATCAGTGTACATTCGTGGACGTTCAACAGGCTCTCCTTCCGTGGCATCACCTAAATCTGCATACACTGTTTCTGTTCCTTGGGCGCTGCTTTGGCGTTGTGGTTGAGCTTTTTGTTTCCCATCACCTGGTCTTGCGGGGGCATCATCACTGTTGACCTGGATGCAGGCATAGGCTGCTGACTCTATGATTTCACTAGCACTCTTGACTGGTGGTGTCAGTGGAGCAACTAGATTGTACATTCCCGTGAATACTTGACCGTCGGAAGCTGTCAGTTTTGTCGTATTCGTCTCCAGACCTTCACTGTATATCTTATCTCTGGTCACTTCACTATAGATACCAGTACCAGCAGTATTAACAGAAGCAAGTTTTTCACCTCTGTGTATGGCGTATGTTGGATTACCGAACTCCAGTGCATTCACACTAGTGGGTGGGCGGTCACCAGTCTGACTGTGACTTGAATCAATTTCACGGCATTGAATTTTCTCTTCAGGTTTACTGTCATTTTGATTTTTTGCTTTCATCCTCTTCTTCCTCATAACAAGTAAAAGCACAAGAACAGAGATAATCAAGAGTAAGACAAATGTAGTAGTCACAAGTGATACCGGGAGAACACTACCTCCATTTTTCTTAGGTGGGATATTCTTTGTTTCAATATGGGTTGTGTAGCTCTCATGGATACTGACACCGGACTCACACACCATCACACCACCACTGTCTACTAGTGGACTAGTACATCCCATTGTCACACTAGATCCATTGACTGACTCTATTCCTTGAGGTACTACTACCTGCGAGAGAGTAGATGTAGTCTTCTTTCTGGCAGTCATCATGGGTTTACGAACTGAAGCAGGTGAGGGATCTGCAACATGTGATTTACAATCATTCACCTATCATATAGATAATTGCCACAACTCACATAAAGTAGTTGTAGAAGGTAGTGATAAAATCAAGGTAGGACGTAGTGGAGAAGTTGGTTGAAGACAAGTTGGACTGTCTATACCAATGAACCTGACCTCTCCCACATGAACCCACTGTATGGATGAGGTGTGTGATAGGTCCACTAGAATATAGACTGTGCGATAGGATCCACTTTGGAATGAGCCTCCAGAAATGTAACATTTGAAAGAGAGTTTACACGATGACTGGAGGGAGTTGTCATCAGCAATACACAATGGAAGGCTATCTATGTTGGTGGTAGCTGCTAAATTGTAATCTGGATTGAGATACACTGTGATACGTGGAGTACCAATGTTCCGGTCAGAACAGTTGAACAAGTCCATCTCAATTCCAGTCAGATTAACAGCTGTGTCAAAGCCAAATGTCAGCACAACATGACGGAAAGGGATATCAGGAGTTCCTTCATTCCTCCTCACTGTCACTAGCTGAGATGCCCAGTCAGAGGTACTTGTGTCAATATCAGGAGAGCAACCATCAACCAGATAGCTTCGTGACTCACACACCATCACACCACCACTGTCTACTAGTGGACTAGTACATCCCATTGTCACACTAGATCCATTGACTGACTCTATTCCTTGAGGTACTACCTGCACAGGTATTGTAGTGCCTGTGGTATGAAGACAGTTTTGTATTTATTATTTTGGCACAAAATACCTGCAATTACCTGAGAGAAGGACAGGTGAAAAAAGCAGTGGAATCAGGATTCCTCGCTTCTGCACAATGTAATACATCCATGTTGTCTTAGCTGTGTTACAAAACCTGTCTACATCTTAAGGTGATTGTTCCACCAAAATTAGTGTATTCAGTGTGCATAAATGCAGTGCTAGTATCCCACATTCAGCCGCATGAATGCTGGACATATAATTATTAGCTCTCCACCCACAGCCAAATCTAACTCTATTTTTCATCACTCAAAACACCTAATCCATAGTATTCTTTACCCTCCTCTATAGCACATAATTATTAGGGGACCACAGTAGCTTGAGACAGGTAATGTATTATACTGATTTCGTGAGGAACACTCTCTCTTTATTACCTCCTTGTCAAGGAGGTGGGAGTACGACAGACTGAACAGCTCTCACAGGATGACACCATATTTAGACACATTCCACTCTCGTCTGTTACATATACTATAAACCTCTACAAAGACAATCCTTCAGTTTCACTTTCTCTAAGCAGCCAAAAACTACTTACTGTGAATAAAATCCACCCAGTTGTTTATCTAGGGCTGGTGACATGGCTGTGTCTCCTTATTCAGACCTTCCCGTAGTGTGTTCAGTAACCACAAACTTCCTTGCACAGAATATCAACTACGTCGTAAAGGAGGATAGTGCAGCTATAGGAACACACAAGCCTCCATGGAATCTGCTAGAATGTATCAGTGTGAGTAAAAGCTGATCCAAAATGGGCATAGGAAAGTTTCCCTGTGTGAAAACAAAGCCAGCGTGAAAATGACCTGGCATAAAGCGATCAGAAGATAAGACAGGTAATCTGACTTCTAAAGAAAAAATTATTCTCCTTACGAATGACAGGAGATGGTCCTGAGCTGCTAGTGCATGTAAAAGCTCCACTTGGTCGTGTCACTCCATTAGCCTTGCTAAAAGCGTTGTAGTAGTGTATATACATTATTTTCCATGTTGCTTGTGGTACAAATGGGTTTACTTTTCACACAAACAAAAACATTCACAAATCCAATGGAGAAAACACCTTTTTGACGATAATCATACATATTTGCTTATGTGCATATACATAGCCGCGCACTATGGTTAATTGACCCCACAAAATGCAAATCTCTTTTCCAAATGTGCACTTGACAGTCTGTCTTAGAGAGCATGAACAATCCCAGCTCTAGTAGTCTGCCAACGTGCACATAACATACAGGTTCCACTCACCATAAAGAATGAAGACATGACAAACACTACCACACCGCACTTGTATTGTCCAGATATTTTCGGCGACACGGTCGTTTTGGTGTGCAGTAAACAGTTAGGGCTGGTGAATACAAGTGCTCACGCACCCCGACGACTCACTTTGCGCATGCGCACTAGGAACTCTATGCGGTATTGTAGTAGTGTATACGCATTCTTTTCCATGTTGTTTGTGGTACAAATGGATTTACTTTTCACACAAACAAAAACATTCACAAATCCAATGGAGAAAACACCTTTTTGACGATAATCATACATATTTGCTTATGTGCATATACATAGCTGCGCACTATGGTTACCTATTGACCTCCACACAGAGCAAATCTCATCTCCAAATGTGCACTTGACAGTCTGTCTTGAAGAACATGAGCTCTAAGGATTTACTTTTCACACAAACAAAAACATTCACAAATCCAATGGAGAACACACCTTCTTGACGATAATCATACGTATTTGGCATAATACATAGCCGCGCACTATGGTTAATTGCCGCCACAAAATGCAAATCTCTTTCTCAAATGTGCACTTGACAGTCTGTCTTAGAGAGCATGAACAATCCCAGCTCTAGTAGTCTGCCAACGTGCACATAACATCAATAATGTTCCACTCACCATAAAGAATGAAGCCATGGCAAACACTACCACACTGCACTTATACTGTCCAGATATTTTAGGCGACCACGTCGTTTTGGTGTGCAGTAAACAGCTATATAGGGCTGGGGGGGTGGTATATAAGCACGCACACCCCGACAACTGCCTTTGCGCATGCGCAGTTCTCCGGCCGCATTGATCGAGAGCCGGCCAAGTAACGCGCATGACAATCACGCGCGCAGCACGTATATTATACATCATCCTAGATCCTAGATCCTATGCTAGAGAGGCGCGTGCGCTTAATTATGTTCACGTGTGCGTAAAACTCCGCGCATGCGCAGTACAGTGACAATGCAGAAAATTCAACACCAAGAAAGAAGTCCAGTGTATTGTTCATAAAACTGTTTGAAGTAATGTGTGCAATTCTCTGAATGTGATTCGTTCATTGAAGTCCATGACCCAGCACTGTTCCATGATCTCGTACACAGACTGGGGGCATGAGGAAGACTGAGTCGGAAATTGACGATACTCCCTCTTCAAGGCATTGTGGATCACCTCCTCGTCAGAGAGGTGGCGATACGGCAGCTGCTTGGCCAGAGTGAACATCTCCCACATGGTCACACCAAATGCCCACACGTCTGACTTCTCCGAGAATTTCCCGTCGAAGCACTCGGTGGCCATCCAGCGAATGGGAAGCAACGTATTGCCCTGGACTCTGAAGTAGTGAGACTGGTAGATGTTCTTGTCGACACCCAAGCTAGCTACTTTGACGCTAAAGTTATTTCCAACCAGGCAATTTCGAGTGGCGAGATCGCGATGGATGAAGTTCAGGGCGGCAAGTTGCTTCATTCCGCTGCAAATCTGGGATGCCATGAACACCAGGGTCGACTGAGTGATCTGTGTTGTACTGGAGGGTGTCGCTATAGAAACGACCTCAGAGTATTTCTGGAGGAATTGGCTGAGGTCGCCATCCTTCATGTACTCCATCATGATGAAAACGGGGTCTTCGTAGCAGGCACCGAGGAGTCGTACGACGTTCGGGTGGCGAAGCTCGTGACAAGAACTGGCTTCCGTTTCGAATGCTCTTCGCTGAACTGGAGTTGCATCCAGTTTCAGTTTTTTCATGGCCACAGTGACGGAGACATTCTTGTTAGTCTCAGTCTTGCTGAGGTGCAGGTCTTTCAGACTCAGACCAACAGTGCTGGCAAGTACAACTTCCCCATAGTGCCCTGTACGAAGCGATGACTTCTCTTTGACATTGCTGCTGTCGACTTCTGGTGGGAGTTCAAAGCTCTCAGGGAGCTCCGTGAACGAAGGGTAAATTGGGGCATAAATGATGGGGTCACTCGATATTTCCTCTTCTGGCTCAGGCTGTTGACTGATGAAGTCCGAAGGATTGATAGGCTCGCTGTAGATGTTCTCATTGAATATTTGGACAGCCAGATAGTCTTTCAGATCAGTGTTTTTCTCTGGCACTATTGGAGCGTTTTTCCTTCTGACAACGCTGTACATACGACTAGCTTCATCGCAGCTTTTGCCACTGGGCGAATCAGACTGTGCATTCGCTGATTCTTCTTCTGATGGTAGTGGGTGTGGATTTCTCTTGACATGCGACGCTGTTGCTTTAGCTCTCTCAAGGAGAGGGATTACCTCGTAGTGACCTACATCAATGTCGTCCTCAGAGAATGGTGAGTTTGGTTGTGCGTTTGTTGATTTTTCATATGGTGGTGGACGTTGGGCCTCCTTGACAAGTGATGCTGATGTCACAGGGAGATGTATGACCTCATAGTGACCTCCATCATCTTCATCGCTCGGGAATGGTGTGTTAGACTGCGCATTCATTGACTCTTCCGCATGTTTGTCTTTCTTGACAAGTGATGCCACTGCTGGTGTTTCTGTAGGGAGAGAAATGGCTTCATAGTGTCCTCCGCCATTGTTGTTCTTGGGGAATCCAGTCTGGGTGAGTTGGATGGCTGGTGGAGGTTCGTCACGTGCGACAACATCGTAGTAGGCCTCGTCTGCTGGGCAGATAAACTCCTTCTTGATGATGTCATAGTGCTCATCGCTGCTGTTTGTATCCAGCGAAGCATCGGGGCAGACATAGCGAGAGTCATTCGCAGAAGAAGAAAGTATGGGGTTGGTTGCTTCTACGTGGTTTTCAATGCCGCTGCGAAGAATGGAACGCTTCTCTAGTTCATACGGCACAGTCTTGGTAGCATTTTTTGCTTGGGTACAACAGGAGCGCTTTCTCGCCAAGAATACAACTAAACTGGTCAAGAAGCATGCCAACAAGATGAGTCCTGCGATGAGTTGCTACCAGCGCAAATATTATGGTGTGTCGGATGGTCTGGGTGAGAGCGTGGGTCAGATGGTGAGGTGTCTGGGGTAGAAGATGTTTCATGGCTTCATTTGGTAAGTTGAATATGTATACAGATTGGTGGTACCGGAGGGAGTTTTTGGCAAAATTGGACACATTGATATTGGTAAAGATAGAGAAGTTGGTTGAAGACAAGTTGGACTGTCTATACCAATGAACCTGACCTCTCCCACATGAACCCACTGTATGGATGAGGTGTGTGATAGGTCCACTAGAATATAGACTGTGCGATAGGATCCACTTTGGAATGAGCCTCCAGAAATGGTAACAGTTGAAAGAGAGTCACAAGATGACTGGAGGGAGTTGTCATAGCCAATACAAATGGAAGGCTAATATGTTGGTGGTAGCTGCTAAGTTGTAATCTGGATTGAGATACACTGTGATAGATGGAGCACCAATGTTCCAGTCAGGACAGTTGAACAAGTCCATCTCAATTCCAGTCAGAGACACAGCTGTGTCAAAGCCAAATGTCAGCAGAACATGTGCAAAGATATCAGAGTTCCCTCATTCCTCCTCACTGTCACTAGCTGAGATGCCCAGTCAGAGGTACTTGTGTCAATATCAGGAGAGCAACCATCAACCAGATAGCTTTGTGACCCACACACCATCACACCACCACTGTCTACTAGTGGACTAGTACATCCCATTGTCACACTAGATCCATTGACTGACTCTATTCCTTGAGGTACTACCTGCACTTGTGCAACACCTAAAGAGGTAAGATAGAATGGTATTTAACATGTAGAATTCAAGTATAGGTTTGATCATGGTGAATATGCTCTACAAGCTCACAAAGGTAAGTAGAGCACAAGACTTGATAAACCGAGCACTCGTTTGCGTTACTTAAGGCATGCCCATACACATGCGGTACATATACAATACCACAGTGGAAAGTTATACCCGACTCGTGCACACATGCACAGTAAGGGTATCGGTCTGCTTATGCCAGTGAGTGAAGAACTGTCGTAGATCCAAACTTGCGTAGGTACCCACATACGATGTCTGCTCATTGTGCCCACACTTGCACATACAGAAGAGTGAGCTGGCATTTATGTGCCAAACATGGCACATACCAAAATGAAGGGGCTGATGCTGGCCTCTTGTCCTTGTTTAACCAATGTTGTCACATTTGTAGAGGTTTAACTTTACTGAGTGACCCATGCAAACAATGTAAATAACATGCCATAATACCATACTTACCTGTCAAATACAACAGTGAAAGTATTGTTATGGTGAACATTAATTGATCCTGTAAAAAAACAAGTAGCTATTATTAAGACAGGTGAACATTGTTGATGTGGTTAAGCACCTCACTCTAAAATATGTCACACCAATCAACGCATCCTGTTCAAGACCACTACTTACAAAGTTACCAGTTGGCCTTTGCCAAAGAGGGGTGTAATACAACAGTATCAAGGCAGTCACATCCCTTCTATACCTTACCATTGTGTATACATTTATCCCTGCATCTAATGCCATGGGCTCTGAATACTAACACCTGAGCTAAATATGTGATTGAAAAGGATGATTCCACCTCATTCATTGAGTAACATAACAATACTACCATCTTCATGTACTTTGTCCCTTTGTGCAAACCTTGCCAAGAAGGTTGCTAACTATCAGGCCATTCATCTGTAGTAAGGACAGATGGGATCATACCACTGGGCAAGCCTGTCAAAACAGTGGCCAGATTATTAGAACTGAGCATATGCTGCAGTATCTCAAACCTATATAGCTAGTTACCTATACGAAAAGCCAAGGGGAAAATTCAGTTTAGTATTCTCAGTCAGAGCTGCATTTTCAATCATGCAATGCAATCCTGCGATAAAACTGCCACCATCACCTCGAAACGCTAGCAAAGTATCGTCGACGCGAAATGGTCATTCATTCAGTGGTATATATATACAGCGTTATGCACGTAAAAATATTCAGTACATCAACTTACCATAGTTTCAGAACAGCTTCAGAACAGACAGCCAGCCAGTGTTCTTCACAGCCAGCCGCTCGTCGTACGTAGATACGGTGCGCGCATGCGTAGTGCGCCTGCGCTTTGCGCCCTGCGCGCACCATGAACGCTCCGTTTTCATAAAGAAGAGTAATAAAATAGCAAAATATGGAGTTCTACTTTAAAATATCTTGCAGTGTCTGATCAAGCTCTGTGAATGTGGCTCGCTGTTTCACCTCCAGACACCAGCATCTTTCCATCATCTCGAACACGGGCTTGGGGCATCCAGTGGGCCTGGGGGGAAACTTGCGATACTCCCTCTTCAACGAATTCTGGATCACTTCCTTGTCTGAGAGCTGAGGGTACGGAACCTCCTTGGCCAGAGTAAAAAGCTCCCACATAGTGACCCCAAATGCCCACACATCCGTTTTCTCTGAAAACTTGCCATAGAAGCACTCGGTCGCCATCCAGCGAATGGGCATGAGAATGTTACTGCGGATTTGGTAGTAGTGAGACAGGTAGCGAGTGTTGGTCCCGAAATCGGCGAGCTTGACGGTAAAGTCACTTCCCACGAAACACTTCCTCGTGGCAAGGTCGCGATGGATGAATTTGAGGCTTGCGAGATGTTTCATTCCGCTGGCAATCTGGGCTGCCATGAAGATCAGTGTCGACGTGGCAATTTGGTCTTTGTTGGAAGGAGTCGTGGGGATAATTTCAGAATACCTGTGAAGGAATTGGTTGAGGTCCCCTTCCTCCATGTACTCCGTGACCAGAAAGACAGGGGTTTCGTAGCAAACTCCAATGAATTGGACGACATTGGGGTGTTTCAGCTGGTACATAAACTCCACCTCCCTATCAAAGGCCTCCTGTTCACACGGGGACGGTTTGGGGTGCAGTTTCTTCAAGGCTAGCAGGATGGAAAGGTTGCGATCGGTGTTGTCCTTCGACAGCCTCATGTCTTTCAGGCTCAAGTTCTTTGTGACTGCAAGAACAGCACACCCATACTCCCCAGTACCTTCGTTGATCTCCACAACATTGTCGCGACTGATTCTGAGTGGAGGCAACCTACCAGGTAGGGGATCAAGACTGGGATACACTGGACCGTATACTTGGGGGGTATCTTGGCCTGGCGATGGCTTATCAAGGCTCGTAAAATCTGACGGGTCGATGCGCTCAGAAATCACAACTTCGTCAGGGGAAGGAGGCAGGTTTTCGCTGTCGGAAATTTCCAGCTTCGGCACAAATGAGGGAGATGCAGCGTTAGGGATGTTGCTATAGATGACCACTGGTACAGTAGGGATCTCGACTTTCTTGGGCTCAAGCTTTTCCTGGTTTTGTGGTTGCCTCAGAGACCAAGATGGGTTGTCTCTTTGAACGTAATCGTATTTGAAGGAGTAACGTACCTTTGTCTTGGCCTCGGACAGACTGACATAGGCATAACTATACTCTAAATCTTCGCGTGTGTTTTGTCTACGCCTCGAGATGACTCCCTCGTACTGTGTGTCACTGACTGTCATTGCCGTGGCACTGTACTGCTCATGGACTGGGGGAGGGAGGCCAAACTGTCTAGGATTGGTAACTGCTATGATGGAGCCATTAACTTCCAGGCTGCTGGCTTTGATTCTAATACTTGTTTGGAGATTTTCATTTTCCTTCGTTTTTGGCTGTCCTCTAGACCTCCAGCAGTATATCACGAAAAAAGTTACCAAAAGCAAAAGCAGAAGCAATCCTGCGCCAATTGCAGCAACGAGTATAATGGTGGGCTTGTCTAATAGTGGCTGGTTGCCAGGACTTGGAGTAGCTGTTGTTTTAGTACCACCTGGTGGTTGGTTGCCAGGGCTTGGAGTAGCTGTTGTTTTAGTACCACCTGGTGGTTGACTTGGAGTCGTTGTTGTTTTAGTACCACCCAGTGTTGTTGTACTATCTTGTGTTGTCAAGGGTTCTTGATCTAGCCTGGTGGTTCCTGATAGAGGGAGTGAGGTTGAGGTATACCGAGACAGATCAGGGGAAGATTGCGGTGGAAAGGATTGTGAATAAGTTTGATGTGAGGACGTGGTAGGAGTGAGCTTAGCAGATGAACGAGTTGCATATAATGAAGCAGTAGGTTTCAGAGTGGTGGTCATCAATGGCGAATATGAAGAAGTTGATATTGGCAAAGTTGGTTGACAAGTTGGACTGTCTTCACCAATGAACCTGACCTCTCCCACATGAACCCACTGTATGGATGAGGTGTGTGATAGGTCCACTAGAATATAGACTGTGCGATAAGATCCACTTGTGAATGCACCTCCAGAAATGGTAACATTTGAAAGAGAGTCACAAGATGACTGGAGGGAGTTGTCACCAGCAAATGAAAGGCTAAATAATATGTTGGTGGTAGCTGCTAAGTTGTAATCTGGATTGAGATACACTGTGATAGATGGAATACCAATGTTCCAGTCAGTACAGTTGAAGAAGTCCATCTCAATTCCAGTCAGAGGCACAGGTGTGTCAAAGCCAAATGCCAGCAGAACATGAGGGAAAGGGATAGCAGCAGTTCCCCCATTCCTCCTCACTGTCACTAGCTGAGATGCCCAGTCAGAGGTACTTGTGTCAATACCAGGAGAGCAACCATCAACCAGATAGCTTTGTGACTCACACACCATCACACCACCACTGTCTACTAGTGGACTAGTACATCCCATTGTCACACTAGATCCATTGACTGACTCTATTCCTTTAGGTACTACCTGCACTTGTGCCTGTGCTACAACAAAACCTATGATGGTGGTACACTTAAAAAATGATTCACATAATATTATGTTTACATACCTGACAAAATAAATGAAGCACGGAGAACAGTCACCAAGTTCTGTAATAAATAAGCGGTGCCTTAAAGTGCTATACCTTTGGTGATAAAGGAACACGTGCACTGTAAATGGTACATGCTTGGAAATGGCCACATAAGTGTTAGTTTCAGACTCTAACGACACACTAAGCCCACTTTTTTCTCATCTGTCTGATTTAATGACGATTTCTTGAGCAGTGCCAGTTTTAAGCCCTTGCTTAACATGCACTGGAGTAACCACATCACTTTTCCTGTGTCCACAAAAGCCCCAGTTACACAAAAACTATGCAACAGCGTCACATTCCATAGTAGCCATACACCTACCACCACCTACGTAATTAGTAGAGCACTTCCCGACCATGAACCAAAACTTCCATCAACACACTCCATTATCCCAACAGTAGGTTGCCCACAACATGAGCGAAAGGAGCCAAGAGAATCAAATAGAGAGGGGACAATAGACAGACTCTATTGAACCTTCTTCGCCTTAAATTAAATAACAAACCTTGGCTCCCTGCAGGTGTACTACAATTATAGTGCCTACCTACTAGTTAGGCAAAACTTGGCACATCATTTGGCTTCGGGCACAGTAACCAGTGAACAACGTTACCACACAAAACACTATACAGTGATGTGTGTTCAATATTATTTCAGCTGGAGATGTTATAGCTACACAAACATGAGCCGAACATGAGTGAAGCATGGGAAAGGTATATACATACGCCAGTGTCCATTGTCAGTGAACACACCCGACAAAGGACTCACTGTTTGGCCCACTAACAGTATCTAAGTGACCAGCATTAGTTTCTGAGAACCTCTAATTCTGTTCGTGGCTGATTGTATAGCTATAACGCGTACGGCGTTTCATAATGGTCTTACCATTCTGGCGAGCTTCTAAAGACGTGCCTGGTGTGGTAAGTTGAAGCAAAAGAGGACAAGTTTTCTTGTCCTTTTCGAACCCAACTACGTCCTGAACTCACAGCACACAGTAAGAAGCTTCACTGCATCGGTCGGAGAGCCTTGATCTGTAGCTAGTAGGAGGGGCACGTACAGTGCACGCGTACAGCTAGCTAGCTGCGCAACACATCCCGCGCGCCCACAGTCGAGTCGAGCGAGTATACACACGCCTGCGCGCGCGCACTATTAGTCGTGCGCGAGGCCACCGTCGCGCCGGTGGTGCGATACGTGCGTATCACGCAGCTTGGACACACGGATGTTATTACATACATACTACATACCACACACAAAAATATACTTGTATAATACAGCGTCTAAAATCTACGATAAAAAACCGACACACGCTCGACAGAATGTCAAACAAGTGCAATGTTTAGACGCGTAGCAGCATCTCGTGCAGGGCTTCAAATGTGGCTCTTTTCTTCCTGTCAGTGACCCAGCAGCAGAGCATGGCGTCATACACGGGCTGTGGACAGGCAGGCGGCTTCGCGTGAATGTAGCGATTTACTCCCTTGTTGACGGCATCCTCCACCACATCGCTGTCGATCAGGTGAGGATACGGCTTGTCCTTGGCCAGCGTGAACAGCTCCCACATGGTGATCCCGAAGGCCCACACGTCGGTCTTTTCCGAGAACATTCCGTAGAAGCACTCGGTGGCCATCCAGCGAATGGGGAGGATGGCGTTCCCTTTGATCTTGTAGTAGTGCGACTCGTAGAGGTTCCTGCTCATGCCAAAGTCAGCGAGCTTCACGGTGAATTTATCGTCGACGAGGCAGTTTCGACTGGCAAGGTCGCGGTGGACAAAGTTCTGGGAGGCGAGGTACTTCATCGCACTGGCAATCTGGAGAGCCATGTTGATGATTGAGGGTGTGGCTATTTGGGCGGCATCCGTGGGAATATCGACAATCTCAGAGTACCGCTGCAGGAAGAGACTGAGGTCTCCTTGCTCCATGTACTCCATGATGATGAAGGCCGGGTCCTGGTAGCAGACTCCGAGGAACCGGACCACGTTCGGGTGGGACAGGCGTGACATGAACTTGATCTCCTTATCGAAGGCCTCCCGCTCGGTGCTGTTGGCCTTGGACCGCAACTTCTTCACCGCCACGTAGATCGAGATGTTTCGGTTTGGGTTGCTGCTCATCCGCAAGTCCTTCAGGCTCAGGTCGATTGTCTGCGCAAGAACGACCTTCCCAAACTGGCCCGTGCCTAGCTCTTTCAACTCCTTGATGTTGCTGCTGTTAATCTCTAGTGGGAGTTGGACTTTTTCCTTCGTTGCTGCCACGGTATAGATGGAGGAATACACCCGCGGACCCTCACGACCGTCATCTTCATCGCCCCCGGCCTTTTCCGGCTTTTGTTTAGCTCCGCCGCGAGTGAAATCAGAGGGCTGGATCGGCTCACTGTATATGTCGCCGTCGTCATTGTAGGTGGTGGCGGTCGCTAGAGCTGTGTTGACGTCGGGGACGGCGTACATATCAGAGTCCGCATCGTGCGAGGCGTGTGAGAGTGCATCGGCGCTTTCGTAGTTGGGGTTGCTGCTCATGCCAACGGCCAGTGATTCGGGGAGAGCTGAGACTTTGTGGGGTTGGCTTGGTGAGGACGTGGGGAGAGGTAGAGGGTGAGAGACGGCCTCCTGTGTTGATAGGTAGACCTGGAGGTCGGGGGACTTTGGGGGAATTGCTGGCGAGTTGAATGGGTCTTCGTCTGTGAATACGCCGTTGCTGACCGCCTGAGAAGCATTCTTCTTCCCCTTGGGTTGTTTGGTTTTGTCCACCATTGCATAAATTGGTCCGCCATCCTTTGGAGCTGGGGAGGGGGACTTGCTTTTGGTCTCGGACACCGAGGCGTACAGGCTGTTGTCTGCTACAGAAACGGCAGCCCGCTTGAGAGTCGACTTCTTTTCGTCGTCGACCACAGTGTAAAGACCGTTGTCGAACTCAGTTCCGGGAGGGGCGGGGTCAATGGGCGTGGTGTAGTAGTGAGGGTTGTTGGCAACTAGATATCCTCCATTTCCCTCACTTGCAGCGGGTGCCTGTTGACCGTTGGCAGGTGTGGACACCGTGTAGAGAGGATTGTCGGCTGTGTACTCTTCTTGCTTGCTTTCCATTCTCTTCAGTTCCACCTCCTCTTCCTCTCCTCCTCCTCCTCCCTCCCTCGCGAACTATGTCTTGTACCTCCTTCACTTTAGCCTGCGAGTGGCGTTTCCTGACGACTACTATGATGACGATCAGTACCACCAGAAGAGCCACCACAACGACGGCTATGACGGCAGCTATTGCTATGAGAACGGTGGAGTCAGTGCACCGAGCTGCTTGGATCAGTCGGTGATGATGGCGGTGGTGGAGTCACTGTTGTAGAAGCGGAGGTGGTAAAGTCAGAGCTACTGTGCACTATAGCTGGAGACTCACTGGATGTCACGCTGGTTTGAACAGAGGAGGGGCTAGCAGTGGTTTCCATTCTACAACCTGTGCAAGATATTAGCATTAGACAATTCTCACTATACCTACGTGCATACGTACATACATAGCTGTTGGTTATGCTTATGAATTTTTCTTTTACTCAGTGTGATTCGGCAGGTTAGGGTGTGTAGCTAAAATCCATCTGTTGTGTAATAAGCGAGGGCAGGTATATACATTGTATAAAAAATACCATGAGTGTTTGCATGCAAGCCGCAACAAGGGCAAACCTACACCCAAGAGAACTCACATTGAGAAAGGCTAAAAGGTAGGTGAAAGCTGTGCAGGGGACAGAATGGTGTATTTGTACATGACTACATGTGTGCATTCCTAGTAAACTGTAAACATACTTGAGAAATTCAGAGGTATTCCAGAGCTATCCAGGAACCTGACCTCTCCCACATGAACCCACTGTATGGATGAGGGTGATGTTAGGTCCACTAGATCATAGACTGTGTGATACGATCCACTTTGGAATGATCCTTTAGAAAAGGTAACAGTTGAAAGAGAGTCACAAGATGACTGGAGGGAGTTGTCACAGGCAAACACAAATGGAAGGCTCATACAGTTGGTGTTTAGGTGCTATAAGTTGTAATCTGGATTGAGATACACTGTGATAGATGGAGCACCAATGTTCCAGTCAGGACAGTTGAACAAGTCCATCTCAATTCCAGTCAGAGACACAGCTGTGTCAAAGCCAAATGTCAGCAGAACATGAGGGAAAGGGATATCAGGAGTTCCCTCATCCCTCCTCACTGTCACTAGCTGAGATGCCCAGTCAGAGGTACTTGTGTCAATATCAGGAGAGACACCATCAATGAGATAACTGATGGCACCATTCCCTGGACTACCACATGTTGTATCTGTTTTAGTAACTGATAGTGGACCAGTACATCCCATTGACACATTAGATCCATTGACTGACTCTATTCTCTCGAGGTACTACCTGGACTGGTGGACACACAGCACCTGGATACAAAAATTTAGACACAACACTCAACCTTTTAGGATTAAAATTTGGGGGACGTCGGTGATGCTTATGAGAGCGGTGCCACCAATTGAAAATTCCAGCTAAGGTCAATAAGAATAAATCACTTGCGTGCGTAATTCACTGTTATCAATATACAGTAAAAAATTCACCGTCATAGAGAGGGCCATTCATGGGTGTGTGTCGCCATGTGTGTTTTTAATTATAAGAGAAGTACTACAGTAAATCCTTATTACTCCTTCAATATGCAAAGATAGACGTTGCACAGAAAGTGGCTGATCCAGCACGAACGGTACATGCTGCTGATCTTGTATGTCGTGCTCTCAGCCTCTTGCGTGGCTGCCGCCACTCATTGCTACACTACAGCTAGAATAGGTTTTTAAAAATAATTATGATTGCATGCCAAGATTAATCACCCTTCGCTCACAAAACCTACAATGCTTGAGCTATGCGATTGTCCACATCATCGAGTAGGTGTATTACAAAATCACTATATTATTATTAAGGTGTTAAATAAACTAAAATTAGGTATTTACCTGACAAATATACTTGAAGAGATGAAAGAATAAACATTCCGATCTGCAGAGAGATACAATTATGTTGTGACAAAAGGAAACAATCTCCCATGTGGGTGTGGTATGCACAAGCATTACGGGTACTCAAGCACAGTGCATTCATGTGCACGCAAGAACTGTTTTGCCGGAACAATGCTAACAATCTGTGGTAAAACAAACGTCATGTACGGAAACTATACAACACTAAATGAAAAGCACTGAAGCGCAAATCCTTGGCGTACTTAGAAACATGTGTGTAGAGGCATTGCACCCATACACACGTGCAGGTCAGAATCGCTATAATTGATGGGTTGGGCTACACTACTGTGGTCTCTCGCTAGCTTTCTAAGAATTTGACACGGGCTAGCTAGATTAGTATGGAGCACTTTAGGCATTGCGAGACTCGACATATGCCTCCGTTGCATTTTCTGATGTCTCCATGGTACGCAAACAAGCAGACTGCGTTGAGGTAAGTGACTGGTAATTTGCATATTGCCTTTTCCACTTGGTTTTCATGCCATAACTTTTGAACGCAGTGTTTTTAAACGATAAAGCCAGTGTACATTGGTATCACTTTTGGCCGGCCTGTAGTATGTGGTGGCAGAAAACGCAGACAGACAGACACACACACACTTACAAACCCTGTAACCCTTTGCTTTGCATGTATGATGAGGGTTGAAAACACCCCTTCCAACATGCTTAAATTTCATAATTCTAACACACATATTGTCATGCTCCCTTGTAACATGCTCCAGTTAGCTTTGTGGCCCAATTATAGTGTGGGCTGTCTATGTGATGTCATACTTGACACCAACAGTGACCTCATCCAGGGTGGACTACAATGACAGCCTATGATGCAGTAGACCCATAACACACTGCTCATCAAACCATTGCTGGTAATTGGTGCCACCATTCCACACTACAAGCTTCCTTCCTGCACACTTCCACATCACACCACTTCTGACTGAGCCGCATGTTGTACACTATTATATATAGTATGTACACACCTCCTACTCACTCATACAGAAACCAGCAGTACTTCCTAAAGCCCGAGCACACGAAGTGTACTTATCAAAACAGCCTTTCTAGTAAAAACTACTCCACATGCCCCTTGCACACTC